AAAAAAAATGAAAAATACATTCTCTGTTATAATTGGAATGTAAACAATGGGTGCATATGTACATAGATAAAAACAATTGACACTGGGGACTGCAAAAGAGGGCAGGTAAGAGGAGTGAGGGTTAGAAAATTACCTCCTAGTGCCAATGTTTGCTGTTGGGCAATAGCCACACCAGAAGCCCAAACCTCACCTTTACGAAATACATTCATGTTACAAAACTGTACAAGGGCACTTTGATTCTATAAAAATAAAAAGAAAAAAGAAAATATGAACAGAATTGATAGACGGCTGGCTAGATTTACCAACAAAAAAGAAAAATGCAAAAGGAGTCATTCCTTGTTTTGGAGCCCTTTTTCGTTTTCTGGTACTATAAGAAATTGGAGACTTTTATGGCATGATCTTGGCTCACTGCAACCTCCACTTCCCGGCTTCAAGTGATTCTCCTGTCTCAGTCTCTCGAGTAGCTGGAAAAACAGGCATGTGCCACCACACCTGGTTAACTTTTATATTTTAGTACAGAAGGGATATCACTATGTGAAATACTCCCCAAAACAGGATTCCTGGTCATGTAATATTTTTGGTTTTAATTCATTTAAGAGCCTTTATACTGCTTTCCACAATTGTGGAAATGTAGAATGGGATAGCCATTATGAAAAACAGTTTCAGGCTTGAGGTATGATTTATAAACAAATAATGTTTGATTATGCATCTCAGTGAGAGTTTCTAATAAATATGATGGAAGTCCAGGAAGGTTTCTCACCTTAACACAAGGATGGATTATGAATTTGCCTCTTATTTCCTTAAAAGCAAATGATTGGAAGCATGTATGATGGAGGTTGTTGGCAAGTTTCAGGATGATTTCACAAGAGGAGAATCTGTTGGATAAAAATATTGGGTTTTAAGTTACAGACATGCAGGTACTAAATATGAAACCATGAAGTCAAGTGACTACGTAGAACATGTTCACTTGAAGCAACAGGTTGTTAACAAAGGCACGCATTGCTCCATCACAAGGGTGATGAACTTTTGAGGCCAGTAAAGTGTGAGTGCACAGTAAGTGAGGAAGTTATCACCTATACGTAAAGTTTAATATGCCAAGGGCTTGTACAGATTAATCATACAAAAATATACACAATGCATTTTTGCATACATAGATGTCTAGAGGATAATTCTCTTAGAGAAATTTCTTCAGGTTACAGAAATCTGTGTAAGTTGCAGATCTCATGGGAGAGTGTCTATGAATACAGGTGTATTTTTCAAGCAGGAAAAATTATCTCTGTTGGATTAGGCTTTCAATTGTGCAGATTTCTTAATTGCTTCTTTAGTTTTAAGATATGAACCAAAAAATTGACTAACTGGAATTTCATGGTTGTGTGAGAAAACTTTCTCATAAGGTTTCTTTAAATTATTTGAGACCAGTGTTCCTGATTTTTTTTCCCCAATAGATAAATTTTCACAAGAATTCAGAAAACCACCTCTCAGGTGCTTCAGTTTAGAAGACTATCTTCCCAGGCAAAGAAACATCTGTCTAACCATGACAAGCTCATTTTTTCTGCAAACAATTAAGTTTGAGACCTCACTACCAATAATCACGTAAATTTTACACTCTAATTTACTGAAAATCATGACTCCTGCATTTAATATTCATTGGCATTAATAAAAATGGTTCATTTGTGGATGTGTCCTTTGTTGCTGACCCCACATACCAGTTAACTGAGAATCTGCCTTTAGGTCCCTTTGTTTGAGATGCTGAGTTGATTGACAATCTTCAGAGCCATCCATGAAGGAGAGAGTCCTGAGGTTCATGGGATTCTTGTAGACACTTAGGTGAACAGAAGAAAGAAACAGGATTGAGGGCTGCCAGCCATGTCCACAACACTAGATGTTTACACTTACCATCTAAGTATAAACGTCTACATCATTCAGAATTCCCTGCATGACACGCTGACACAAAAAATCCAACCCCACATAGGCTCCACAGCAGCCCTTACAGTTCTTTCAGGGAAGAAAAATCTCCAACTTAAGCGAGTCAGTAAAGCTGCTCTGAGCTACAGAAATAAGTG